CCAGTGTTCTTCCACACAGCTTTCTTCAGGGATTTTGCTCGATGTCTCCCGTTTGGTCTTGATGGCTGCAATGAAAATTTCCCTGGTAGTTTCGTCCTTCAGTTTCTGTTCTGGGTGTTGTACTTGAACTGTGGTCTATCAACAGCTTCCTTGAAGGCTTTCAACTTGATTTTGAGAGTAGATTCCTTGCACTAGATAGTGAGTGGTGTGAACCTACATCTGCTCCCCTTCTTGACCTAGTGTCAAATAGACTGCGTCTCCATTTTCTTGAGATTGAGATGAAGTCGATCTGATTTTTATTGTGTCCTGGTGTCTGGTGAAATCAAATCCATGTCGCTCGCTTTGTGGATATCCTTGTGCTTGAACATAGTGCCTGACTCCAATCACCAAATCGCTGAATGCACAGAATTCTGCAAACAATTCTCCATTCTCATTCATCACCTCATCTAGCGCTTCTCGGTCCATGGTTTGTTCTCTTCCTGTGTTGTCCCCTCCCAGTTTGCCATTCATGTCAGCCCACCCAATGGAATTTTGATGTCGCCAACTGAGGTTGTGTCTTGTCCAGTGTTGATTGAAGTTGTCTGTAGAATTCCTCCTTTTCCTCTTGCTCTGCATTATTTGTAGGTGCATGGTGTAGCATTGTATGATTGTGACCTTTCTTCCTTTTGAGTTGAACCTTGCTGTCATGATCCTGATTGTAGAGAAGATTTGTTCCCACTGCATGAGGGCCTTCTATGCTTTTGGAGACATCATGATAGCCACTCCAAAACTCAGTACGCTGTGCTCGTGGTTGTCGTCTGGGTGACAGTAACGGAGTAGATTATTGATTCTCCATTCGACAGTTTGGAGAGTCCACTTCCATTCCATCTGCTTTCGCAAATTCCAAGCACTTCAATGTGATACCTCTTCATCTTTTTTGCAATCTGGGCTGCCCTACCAGCTGGGTTCAAACATGGTGCGGACATTCCATGTCCCCACGTTTACTTTCGTTTTCATCGAGAGAAGACACATCGGCCAATTGGCTTCTCGAAGGCTTTCACCAACCGGCGTCATTTCGCCTCTCTGATTCCAGCGAGGAATAATTTTATTATTTTTTATATTTTGTTTGTGCTTTGAAGTTTCTTTAGTGGTTAGATCTGTTTTACGGGTTAGGGTTGCTAGTTGTATGCCCAACCTTCCCTGTTTATCCAGGCTTAGAACCGGCTAGTAACTAGTTAACTAGTTAACCAGGCGACGTTTTTTCATATGTGGAAGTAGTTATATGCTAATATCTTTTGGAGAAACTAGTAATGAAACTATACAAATCACAAAACACACAAATTTGTGTAATGTAAACAAACCATAACGAGACGTAAATTATCTGAAAAGTGTGTGATGTATTTACACTACACATTTCAAACAATTTGATCACACATTTACTGATTAAGACATTATATATGACAACTGGAAGTGGAGGAAGGACAAATATGACATGAAAGAATTCAATAATAAGAAAGATAATGAAAGGAAAAGAGATAAGATTTAAAGACAAACCTTGAAAATACGATAAAATAAGCACTCCCAGGGTGGTCTTTGCGTAAAGACAAACTCTTCTGCAACACATAATGGGGTTAAATTTGTTTATGGCTAGCACTTCTTTAAACCCAAGTATACGCCAGTGATAGTTTTATACTATATCGTAATGGTTGTTTTAATATCCATCCTATGACCCTTATCAATGATATGTTTTGCCACTTGCTTTTATCGATGTTTGTGAATCCAGCTGTGTTTGTAGCCACTTTGGTACATGTTCCCTTGCCCTCAAGTGCATATCACGATTAGTCTTTCCTATGTATGTTTGTCCACACACATTTTAGTTTATAAAAGCAGTGGGATGTGACGCAATCGTTTGTACAGCGTTGAGGTCTAGGTTGCAGTAGAGGTTTGGTCTTCTCAACTACGATAAGCCTGGTTGCATAGTAAGTTTTGCTAATAGTAGACCTTAACTTTCGTTTCTCCTCTGTGTAGTAATGTGATGTTAGCTCATTTCTTCGAAACATAGTACAGATTAGGTTTCGATCCTGACTGATTTCTGCAGCGGTTTACGAACTTCAATGGGTATCCATTTTCCACTAATGTTCCACTTAGTATTTTGAAGCCATCATCTATTGAGTCCTCCATAGAAATACGTTGGATCCTTTTAAATAGGCGTCCCACTTGTATGGGGCGCCTCAGAAGTGCGCACCCACGAAATGGTGCTCATTGGTGACTAGCTACGAGAAGTATTCCCGAAGTTCCAATGAGAAGTCGTGACCGGTGGAGTCAAAGCCTGTTGGTCATAAGGACAGTTACTCAACAATGACATTGGGAGGCGGTTGCGCTATATCGTGAGCTAACAGAAGTTGAGAATACGGAGAGTTGGATTCTGACCCAGTGGCTCAATGGTAACGCGCTTGCCACGGAACCTGAAGGTCGCGGGTTCGATCTCTGACGGGATGGGGTGGTGGGTGTGCACTGCTCAGGGACGAAACAGCTGTCCAGTGCTCCCAGGTTTCATTTGTTCCTCCAACTGATGTCAGTCTACAATGAATAACAACTTGAAATATTTCCAAATCTCCACAACTCCCTAAAAATTCAATTGAATTATTTTTTGTTCGATATCACTGTAAATACCATTGTACAACTGCTGAAAATGGTTCATCGAAGGGAAACGTTTCTTTGCTGAATTACCTAGTTCTTTCGAAGTCTCAGTAAGCATTTCTTCTCTTCTGAGGAGTAGCATTTCAAGTGTTGTAGACGTCTGAATACAATGAAAATAGTTATAGTGATCACTATACATGACGAATTTTACAAGTCTCCAACAGAAAATGATAGTGAGGATTAAACTACAGTCTTACATCTCCGGATGAGAATGAATTGCCTGCCAAGTAACCTTGATAGTGAAGCTGTTTGAATGGTTATAATCTGTTGGTGAGATCCCGCTCACAGCACTGCGTATGAGCAACCTTGGTATTCAGGTCAGTAGCGATCTACAGACATACTAACTTAATATTTTAGCCAATGGGAAACAGCGGAAACAACGAGGTCAGACTTCATGTTGGCAGAATGAACAGCAGATATAAGTATGAAGATAATGGTAGTGTCTTGGCACAAACAACCAATCACATCTAGGTCATGCGGACGGGCTAATAGACCAGTTTTGGAGAAAAACTCATAGCTCACTTTGTGACGGACACCCAACTAGTCCTTTCCCAATACGGATCCAATGAGAGCCTGACGCGTAATGTCCCTAAACGGTCTTCTCAGTGTATGTCCAAATCAATCCATCCACACATTCTTCTGAATACTTGATGGGTGAGTGACTATCGGTTGGTTGGTTCGTTTCCAGCCAGTCAATTAGCCACCATTCCTACTCCGAACATCATTCAATGAAAAACATGTACATCCACCTGACAACATTAAAATACAAAAATATGAACCTCCTCCACTCCACTAATAGACACTCCTACAACATCAATGTCAACGCTGAAAATTCTGGCTATATCCACGCATACGTACACACTACCATTTATCGATAGCACACAATCAATTAGATCCAATCGATGATACAGACACTCAAGCTAGTAAATAAATGACGAAAATGCTCATCTTCCTTATTCAGTCAAAATTTGAGGAATTAAAACTGAGCGTCACACCCAGAGATTGACATGCATTCTCACTCTTCCATCTTCAACATACAGTCATTTACAAGAAACTCATTGAAACAGAAATTATTCAGATAGGCATGTCCCTCTCTCCACATCACTGACACTGAACTACTAGGTTGACAAATTGTTAAGGAATCACATCATCATGTCAATTGTCTGATGGGTTTCAGTAGTTAGAAGTTTTGTCGGTATATGATGTTATAATGCTCATATTAGTGCTTACACACAGTCTAGTGTGAGTCACACTAAGGATACTTCAGAGAACATGCAGATTCGTTAAACACTGTAAGGTGTTCCCATTCAGTACAAATTATCGTAATTTAACAGATTCGCTCCTTACATACTACGAGGAGGAGTCCGATTGCCTCGAAAACACGAACGACATTTCAAAGTCACTGAACCAGCTTCATATCAATGACAGAATTCATTACTTCTATGTACACAGCGAAAATGGTAATCTTGCTGTTAAGAAACACTTCTCAACTTCGAAACTTTCTGCATCTCGTATCACTGAACACTTCAATACTGAGGTTAGTGTTGAGGATGTCATCAAGCCTGTTGATGAAACTTCCATCATCAACTATCAAATATCGAGGAACATCGAACAGTTATCATCCTCATCGTCTGGCATAAATATCTCTCATTATTGTTATTATCCATCAAATAACTTCATGTAGCATCAACGTTTGTCTGAATGAAACTACTCTAACATACACCTATCTCTCCCTATAGAGAGAAAGAGAGAGAGAGAGGAAGGGATCACTCACTGTACACAGAGATGATTTTACCCTTTCTATTCTCACATTATGAAGCTGTAAACAATCTTCGCTTTCCTCATCAATAATAATTCATACATGGGGGTGATCTGAGTGATTTAAGTATTCGATTGAGAGATGCAATAAAGCGAGTGGCGAAAAGGATAGAGTAAATGTTTACACAACTGTTAAATACACAAAACTTACAAATAAACTTGATTATTTATTCAAGTATTCAATGACTACATATTCGATATAAATTGGTTTTCGTCTAATACATTTTCACTATGGTTTCATAATTTAATCTCTTTCGTGTCATTAGTATTGATACTCAAGGTTATTCAAGTAGATCGTTTAACCAATGAAATTACCAATCTCAAAATCATTAGTCAACTTTACTACAAAGTCAAGTTTTATCAAAATGTAAATTGTTTTATCACACTAAAAAATCTATAATTATATTTAGTAGAGAAAAGCATACGAAAATTAGAACAATGTCAGCTATAAAATTTTAATACATCGTCCAGGAATTGATGTACCACTTGTATATCGTTTACAGATGTCATTATTTAAAGGCATGAATTGGACTAATTTAATGAAGAAATTTCATGAGATAACACATTATCAATTTTCAAGCTTTCATCTTACATGGAATGGTAAGTAACTGACAGATATACTTAAAATGTTTGTGCATATATAGAGATCTACTACTATTATTCTCTATTGTATAATATGTAAAAACTTGATGGTTATCTTTATAAAGGTAAGTAGAGTCTATGTGACATATGGATAGGGATTGACGCCAGGTGTACAGACACATTCAAGCAATCTGTTCAGTGTATCCCAGTTAAAAAAGGTCCCAAGATTTTATCTATCAGTTTTTTGCATTTTTTCATCCTCTCTTTTTCTGATCCTATACTGTTAGCCATCTGATATGATCATAACAAGTAATTGCATCAAGAGCCAGGTTTTGTTGTTTCGTTTATCATGACAGTTAACTAAACAGTCTGTTAGCTGGGATCCAATCTTATTCATTGGTGACCTAACATAGTGTGGAGAAGACAACTGTAGATTAATTTTTATGTATGTGATTAACAAACTAGATTGCCCGTTTGACATAGTCCACAATGATACTATATGATTTACTAAATAATGTTTTAAACACATCTTATTACTCATAAACATATCGAAGTAATCACACAACTTTCAAACTTTCATGTTGTAGTAAAAGTTGTCCGACGTTTTAATGACAATAGAATTTCCTAAATATCTAATAAACAGCACGAATCATTCCTTCTACATGTGTTGTGTTGGTTTAATGAACATTAATTCCACAGATTAAGTTTCCCTGCATCTGGCGTCTTTAGGTCTCATAACTTACACTACGGAAACCGACAGCTGGAAACTGTTCGTAAAGTTCTTAACAATGATAAGAATTAGAGGATATTTAATTGTACAAATATACTTGAGGGAAACATTTTGAGCTAAAATAATCTATAGATTTAGCCGGGTAAGCATAGCATGTAAAAATTGTGAGGTTAGGTAAATTAGTTAAGGTGGCCAATCGATTCATCCAAGTACTCTGTTTAAAAGATTAGACAAATATTTAACCTCAGTTCAGGATAATCTCGGGAAGATGAAAAAGAGACTCAGAATACTTAGTTAATGACTTCAAATGTATGTCTCGATATAGGTATGGAGACGGCTTTCTTTCATGGAACTGAGACAGAAATTATAGGTTATAAAGAAGCGGTCAACCAATATCTCACCTTTATTTTCCGGCTGATACTACCAATATGTTTATATTTCCTGATTTGTCTTCAGAAAGCAATGATCATAATAAATGTAAAACTTTACATTGGAATTTGTGTGTTAAAATGAACCCAGAACAGAATCGTTGTACAAAAGGTGGCTGTCATGCCTCAGAGATCTTGTGAATAACACTTTTGCATTTGAAATGATTTTCAGTGGGAACAGTATCACTTGCTGGAGTGCAGACTGATCAAGCTGATGAGTCCTAAATGGGACGAAATGTGCATTTTTGATTCAATTGCTAGTCATAACCAAGAAAATCACAACACAATGAATAATCAAGCAATATCAGGGTAACCTTATAGGATCCAATCTACCAATACAGACCGAATAATTTGATCCCTTATAACAGAACTACTATCATATATTTATGCTTTCATTCTATCATGAAAGTATAAGCCATTTTATTGAGTGTTTATGTGAAGTGGAGAGCTGACGAAGCGTCCCTGATGCCATGTATATAGAGAATATTAGTAAAAGTCCAAAATGCGATTAGATAGAGTATCTAATTCTTGTTTTCCATAAAGTTGCCGGAAAGCTTGTGAAATAATGAACTAACTCTACTTGCTGAAGAAATATCTCGAATTCCACGTCAGAAAGAAGAAACCTGACTGAATCCATTATTAACATACTTTGGAAATTACCGAAGAAAATATCACCATAACCATACTACAATCAGCTTCCAAAGCAATATCTACTTTAAAAATGCTTTTGAACATCACTATTCTTCTGTAAACTTAGTTCCTTCATTCACATTGGTCCCTACAATTAACAGCTATGAACACACCTTTAAATGTGATCAAAAAACTTTGGAAAATCGGTTAGTAAACGTTCTGTGTGCTCGCCAAGCCCTCAAGATATTGTTAAGTAATATATCTCTCTTCTGTGTGGCTCCGAAATTTGTCGTAAAAGCAGATATGTAGCAAACCTCCAATCAGACATTTATGAGGATTTATTTATTGATATCAGGTTGATATTCATCATAGACTGATATTGGTTATGGAAAAATTGAAAACTTGGGAGCACTGCACAGCTATTTCGTCCTAGTATGGGACTTCGCTAGGGATAGAACTCAGGATTTTTGGGTTCATCAATAAGTCAGAATCCACTGGTCCATATTTACTACCTCTGTCAATGCTGTTATTGAGTAAATGTCCTCATGTCCAGCTTTGTGGACCCCACTGGTAACAACTTCTCATTAGAATGCTGGGAATCTCATCTCGAGATAAGAAGCACCTGAACACAAATTTCCCTTTTTGCATATCAAGTGGTATTTCTCTACATGTTTTAATCTAGCATCCGACATAGAATGGAAAATAAGCAGAAAAATGGCAGTATGTTTATTAGTGGCCGTTGACTCAGCCAGTACAACAGTTTGTAAGTCAAGCTAAGTATCCGAAAGATAGAAATATGATGTATTTTAGCGCACTGAAAAGTTCAATTCCGGATAGTATGACATTTTTTTCTGTTATTAACTAGGGAAACATTTTAAAAATGTACAAGAGTACATGATGCATTCAGGGGACATATTTAAATGATTAAAACAAACGAGAAAGGAAAACATTATATTTTCGGTGGAAAAGATTTGGTAACTCAAAGTCCAAGCAGGTTAACTTATCATTTCTGCAACTAATTAGTTAATAAACGTAGAAATTCAGTATTTGGTTTAAGAGTATTTGTACTTGGTGATGATTAAAGGTGAGATGAAAATATAAACGACCGCTGGATTTGAACCAGTGAACACCAGGTTACTGGCCCGGTGCTCAACCAACTGAGCTACGAGGTCCGAGGTCCGGCCGAATCCGGCCGCGGTCCAGATTTTCATCTCACCTTCAATCATCACTAAATACAAATACTAGTCTGCCAAACTATGGCTAACTCAGATAGTCAAATGATAATTTATGAAACTTAACGAAACTGGAAAATTCAGCTTTAAACAATCTACGAAAGGATAATAGTATAGTAATTGCTAAATCTGACAAAGGTAACTCAACAGTAGTTATGGACAAATCGGATTATCTTAAAATAATGGATGAACATATCCAAACAGGAACATATGAAGAGATTAAGAAACCTATAGATACTGTGTGGTGGACTGGATCATGCAGCAAACAGTAGGCAGCGAGAAGAGGGGGATACACTGGCTGAACCAGGGAAAAGAACCTAGAAGACTTGGATTTCGCCGATGACTTATGCCTAATGTCACATAAACTTGAAGATCTGCAGGCAAAAACTAACAAGTTGACAGAAGAGGCAGCCAAGACGGGACTTCAGGTGAATATAGAGAAGACAGAAGTGATGAAGATACCGCACCACCACCATCAACAACAACAACAAACTCCAATCACCGTCAACGGGAGAAACTTGAAGGAAGTAACCTCCTTCAGTTATCTAGGAAGCACTGTCTCAACTACAGGTGGGACGGACGAGGACGTCAAAGTCAGAATCGGAAAAGCAAGACAGGTGTTCATTAGCCTGAAACCAGTGTGGAGATCTTCTGCACTCAGCATGCGGAACAAGATACGGATTTTCAACACCAACGTCAAGTCAGTGCTCTTGTATGGCTCAGAGACTTGGCGCGTCACGAAAGGCATTTCCAATAAACTACAGACATTCATCAACAACTGCTTACGCTCGCTGCTGAAGATCAGATGGCCAGAAAGAATAAGCAACAAGGAACTCTGGGAACGAACCAACCAAGAACCTATCACGCAACAAATATGCAGGAGGAAGTGGAGATGGATTGGCCATGCACTGAGAAGGCCGACTGAGGACATCACGCGTCAGGCCCTCGAGTGGAATCCCCATGGGAAGCGACGAGTTGGACGTCCGAGGGTGACATGGAGGAGGTCATGCGAGGAGGAAATGAGAGCTTCTGGGCTGTCGTGGAACCAGGTTCAAAAGATCTCAGAGAACAGAGGTCACTGGAGGCGTGCTACTGAAGCCCTATGTTCCACTAGGAACCCAAGGGACTAATAATAATAATAATAATAATAGATACTGTCATGAATAAAATTAAGAAATCTACAACAGATCTGATACGCCGACTGAAGCCATCTCTAGGTAAGTCCGAATGGTTTACTTTAATGCCAAAAACTAATAATCCTAGCAGAATTTACGGTACTATTAAGGTTCATAAAGCAGGTTATCCCATTAGGCCGATAGTTGACTTCCGAAACACACCAACATATGAGATATCAAAGTATTTAGCATCAGTATTACGTCCTGTTAGAGACCGTTCCAACTCTAGACTAGTAAATTCTTACGAGTTGAAACAAAAACTTAATGACCTGCACATAGAAGAGGATGAAAAAATGGTTAGTTTTGACGTAACAAGTCTTTATACTAAAATACCAATCAATATGGCACTGGAGGCAGTCAGAAATCAACTAGATACTGACTCACAACTTACTCAAAGAACCAAGGCATCGGTTGGTGAAATCATGTTAGGAGTGCAGTTATGCTTAACCTCGACAGTCTTCAAGTTTCAGGGAAAGATATAGACAAACAGAAGGAGTAGCAATGGGATCACCAATATCCCCTATAGTAGCAGATATATTTATGGATAGTTGGGAAGATATGGCTTTACGAACATATAATCCGACACCTAAGATATGGTGGCGATATGTAGATGACACATTTACAGTGTTGAAATCGGAACATATCGACAGTTTCTTGACACACATAAACTCAGTAGTTAACGCAATCCAATTCACTACGAAGTAGAAAATGAACAAGGAGAATTACCTATGTTGGATTGCAGAATAAAACGAAGGATAGATGGTGGTTTAGATACTACCGTCTACAGAAAACCAACACATTCTAACAGGTATCTAGACTTCAA